CCCTAACCTATGGGGTTTAGCTTTCTGACCTTATACAATTTTTGTTTTGTGCAGTTTCATGAGGAAACACATTTATGCTATAAAGAGTTCTAGTATAAGATTGTAAACCTATGCTAAACGTTACGTCAAATTTACGACGATTTTGTACAAATTGTCGTAAATTTGACGTAATTTTCTGTCAAAGTAATGATGAAATTCCTCATATCGTCGTAACATCGACGCCAAATCTAACCCCTAAATCTCGTAATAATCATTTACTGGCCTATATGATGGATTTCAAGCATGAGAATTATATGGTTTACATGCTCATAAGATACATATCTGTTATATACAAAAAAAATTTTGAAATTTTTTCACATATATATGTTATCAAGTGTTCTTAAATACATATATACATTTAGGAAACATGTAAGGGTTCATCTTAAACATTAGTATATTCATCATTATGCTATATATACTCACCAGAAGTTGTATTGCACACATATACAATGTTTAGTAATGCATGTAGATACTTGAGCATGTATAAATTTTTTCATTTTATCAAATTTTTTAAAAAATATATCATAAATCTGTCGTAATATTACGACATATTTACGACGATCCTTGGAAACTCAGCCGTTATGTAAAACATGATTTATAAGATATCGTCGTAATTTCGTCAAAACATTATGACGGATTTACGACGATTTGCGAGCATCGTAAATCCGTCGTTTAATCCAAAAACAGCCACATGTGTTTGTCTTATACAATTTGTGGATCGGTGGATATTATGCATCGGATTTACGACACTTTTTCGTGTAAATTCGTCGTAAACTTACGATAGATTTACCACGAATATTAAAACTATATATATGGACGTACTCTTCTCTACTTCGTCGCTCATTCCTCCTACTCCTCTCTCTCTCTCTCTCTACCTCTGCCTTCTCTCTTCCGTTTTTCTCCAAGTTTCAGGTATTTTTTTCTAATTTTTTAATATATATTTATAATATATATAATTATAATTAATATTAGTTATAATTAATTTAATTAATATAGGAAAATTAGTTTAGGTTCAGACTTTGGTTATAATTAGGTTCGGAATTAGATAATAGGTACGGAAAATAGTTTTAATTAGTATTTGTCTTTTGCAGACGATGCCTCCTCGGAGAACCCACTACATCAACTTTATGGCGAACGGACATTCTCTATCTTGGACGTCTGCCTCGGGTAATACCAAGATCCCGTCTTCCTCTGGAGCCTCCCAGGTTCCAAACACGGCGGCTGAGCAGTCTCCACCACCACCTCCACCACCACCTCCACCACCGGCACCTGAACCCCGCCCACCGCATCCGTATACCCAGTATACGGTGGAAGACCTATTAGACCTACCAGGACGGGAGGGTTTACGACATCTGGTGTCCGAAAAAACGGTACCAGGCTCTTATTGGTAAGTGTTTTTTCTTTATCTTATTATTTTTTTAAAATAAATCATTGACTTAATTAATAACATACTACATTTTTATTTTATAGGTTTAGCTTGGATAATTGTGTCGGTCGTAGCATTTCCGAAATAATTAAGAGCTATTTTGTCGAGCCTCACTACAACTTGGGCAAAGTGTAGCAAGACATTTTCGACACCTGGTACAAATGTTTCTAGGTAAATCTATTTTTCTCATTCCTAATTCTAATTATTTAAATTTTATTACATATAAATTGTTTTAACAACTATACTGTTTTATTTTGCAGCAAAGGTGGAACTGAGACATCTCGATCAACGAGGAGGTCCAGACACAGTTCCGCCTGAAGGAGATGAAACGCCTTGTCAACACCGTTTCCGACTAGAAGCGGAAGTGGGAAATAGACGGCAACGACGCGAAGCCGAGCTTGATGTCTACTTACTGCTGGAACGGGTTGAAGGCGTATTGGATGGACCTGCATGCACAAGAAATTGCTGCTAAGTGTTCGGGCGTTCGAAACAGGGTCAGTCCTGACGGTCGGAAGTTAGTGACCCCGCACACTTTTGGCCAAATAACATTTGCAGAAAGACATCTGATAATGGTAATTAATTTTAAATTATTTACTTTTATATATTAACTAATGTTTTTAACCTTTTTTGTAGGCGGAGGAGAACGGATGAGAGCTTCCTCCAATGACGAAGTCACTCACTGTAGGCGGTTCCCGTAATTCAGATGGGAAACGACGGTATAGCGGCTTCCGGCAAATATAACGGAGAGCTTTCTCAAAACGTCGATCCCAACCTGGAAGATTTTAATATCACTTTATAGATTAGTTTTAATTCTTAAAACATTTCGTATTTGAATTTGTATTTTAATATATTAATTATTTTCATATTTAATTTTTTTAATTCTAATTTTTTTAATATTAATTTATTAATTTATTTTTAATATTAATTTATTAATTCAAAATTAAATTTTCATTAATATTTTTTTTAAAAATATACGACGTAAATCATAGTAAATCTACGTCGATTTTACGTCAGACGAATTAACGTCACAACGTTTTACGACAAACTAACGTTGATAATTTACAACGAATAAACGTCGATCTCTAATAATTTTAATTGTTTTTGACGAAACAAATTTATCTTGTAATCGTTGTAAATTCGATGTAATATTACATCGATTTTACGTCGATTTTGTGTTGAAACAATATTCCGTATTTTCGTTGGAAACTATTACGTCGAATTTACGACGAATACTTTCCAGCGAAATGATGATGATTTCTGGATGTTGAAAATTTTACGTCGATTTTACGACGATTTGGGTTTTACGACGCTCGATACGATTTACTTCGTCGATTTTACGTCAGTATATTCCGATGTAAACGGCCTTCTTTCTTGTAGTGAAAAGAAGTTGGTATCCAAACGCTAAGATACACACAACACAAAAACTAGGGTTTCAGATTCGTAGGTCCAGGCTGTTTCTCGTCCAAGAAGCTACATCGATAACTTTCTCAATTTACCTCAGAATCTGGATCTGAAAGTTGATCTGGAAAGAAGGATCTGAGATCTACAGATCGGTATATGAATCGCTATCTGGGTCCTTCTGGATCGACGGCAAATCCTCTCTCAAGTTGACACTGCAAAATCAGAAATATCAGATTTGTAGAAACGAATGATTTTTTTGCCAACTTTCAGCTCACGTAAAAAAATGGAGCTTACCTCAAATTTTTGACCTGTAAACTGCTATGGATTACTTGCAGCGAGATCTTTCCAAAGGTATAAAGATTGGCACCTAGTTTGATCTGAGTTGCTGGCAAACGACCCATCAAAACTCTCACTCGAACACAATATTAAAATGAGGTTGCAGAGTTTTCTAGAGATTTTCACTGCGTAAACTATTTGTACCTCTCAAACGAATGTGGCTCACCCTTTATATAGGGAGGGGGTCGAGCTCCTTAGGTCTAGGGTGGAGGAAAAATGACAAAAATGCTCTTACTAACAGTTAGGGCTTTATTTCTTCTCATGGACTTTAAAGTTTGAGCTTATTCATTTTTTTTTATAATTGGGATGTCACAAGTTTGATATCTAAACCTAGGCTTCAAATTGACGTCGCCTGCTTTAATCTCCATGATGGCGTTTGGAGTCAAACTCACCAGCATGATTTGATAATCCAGAAACCCTTGAAAATGGAAGAATCGATTATTAAAAAAAATCGGAAAGGAATCATGAATAGAGAAATAGAGAGAACGAGGGGAAGAGTAGATCGGCCACCTTAAGAACGGTGGTGAATTGTGAGAGATTCCTCCGTAAACTTGGATGGATTTTACGGAAGACGGAGAAAAATGTGAAGAAGAGGTTGCGAGTCGCAACAGTTAATGTTTCCTTAATTTTGAATTTTTTGCGTTGACAATTCGCTTGCAACTACAAATATAACCTCCACTCGTGGTTTTCCTCTCAGCTAAACATTATTGAATTGGACTTAGGCCCGATCAAAATATGGGCCTGATGTTTAGGCCCATAGCTGGATAAAAATGAAACCCTAAAGAGAACCTATATGTAAAAGGCAACTTTTCTTCTCCGTCTTTGCTTCTTCATTTTGACGCCGCTTCATCTTTATTGCAGGTTCATTCTGCTTAACCTAGAATTTCGTTATTGTCGAGTAAAGTACATAAGCTTATGCTCTAGGTTTTGATCTGTGTTTAAATATTTGTTGCGGGTTCTGTCTGTAGAATGGTCGTCTTAGGTTTTTCTAGATTTGTCAATCACGTTAAGGTCATGGGAAAGTAGTGAAGCTGTTTAATTTATCACCTGATTCTGGTGAGTCTTCATACTTTCAGTTTAGTTGATGTATCAATGACTTAGGTTTTAATATTATGTTTTCACATTCAATCAAGTTCAGTGTCATATGTTGATGGATCTCGATGCTCTAGTATTGTTCCTATGTTTATTGATCTCTTTATTCTATTTGTTATTTTGGGACACAAATCCACGCAGTACTTGAATTTCATGATACAGATTCATCGATTTGTAATCTCTAATTATTACACTTTTAACATTTGTTTCAATCGCTGTTAATTGTTATAATGTTGGATATCTCTTGATGCATCTGCATCATTAGAATTTATTTGACATTGCATATATCATGTGTTTCCTGTGTTGTTAGTACATACCCAATCTTGAAAATTAAGACGCAAATCAACTATTTTTAAGTAGTTTGTAGATCGCCTAGTATTGTTCATATGTTTATGGCACACTTGTAGATCGCGTAGACCCAACAACCGTTAGAGGATTTTCGATATTCTGGATGTCTCTCAGAGGCGAGTTTTTGGGCGATTTAAGTAACCGCCATATTCTTCTCCGAGAAAGCAAATTTCCAGCAGTTTTTCTCCGATTCCTTCGGGTCAAAGGTTTCGGTTATTGTCCGTTGAGATTCTCCTCTAACGGTTGTTGGGTCTCACCCTTTTCGGATGAGTTTCACATCCCAAAACCGCCATGGTTTCTTGTCTATAAATACCAGTCTCATCTTCTTCTATACTCCTTCTTCGATTCACTCAAAATCATGGGAGATAACGTACACCGTCGTTTGCAAGATCTCTCTCTTGGTGTAGAAGATGAACCCATTGCTCTTCCGGCGTCCGTCTGTAATCAGGCCGCCAGTGCAAATCGCTACGCCATCATCAGCGCTACAGTGAATGCAAGGAAACAACATCTCCGAACTTTGATTGGTCACATGCCAAGGCTCTGGGGTTTTGGAAACAACGTGATTGGTCGGATTGTTGGGCAAAACCAATTTCAATTTGTGTTCCAATCTGAAGAGGCGATGAATCTCACTCTCCGCCGTGGTCCATGGTCCTTTAACGAATGGATGATTGTCCTCCAACGGTGGTCACCAAACATTGAAGATGAAGCCATGAAGATCATCCCCTTTTGGATCCAAATCCGGGGAATTCCGCTACAATATCTGACTCGTCCGATGATTCGTTTCATCGGTGATAAATTGGGCCCTGTTGTCGAAGTGGATTTCGATGAAGCATCAACACGAGTCGACTTTGTTCGTGTAAAGGTAAACTGGAATCTCGAAAATCCTCTACGCTTTCAACGAAATTTCCAATTTGGTGTGAATGAGAATACTGTGATAAGATTCTGGTATGAAAGGCTGAGGAATTTCTGCAACAAGTGTGGTTTGTTAACTCATGAACTCAAGGATTGCCCTCTGAATCTTGATGATGATGATGATGAAGACCCTCAGTTACCCGAGGAAAATCCAGATGATGATGGAATCAAAATATTGATGGGGAACTCGATGCTACAAACAGAGACATCGTTTTTGAACCCATGTCTGCAGGTTTCCCTGATGCAGATACTAATCAACAACAAAGAAATGCTAATCACAACCAAGAAAATGCAGACAATGACTTGGCTACTGAAACGGTTCACTATTTGCAAGCGAAAATGGCAAAAGGAAAATTCAGAGAGGATGAATTTATGGAAGTCTTTGCTGCTTACACAAGAGAAGAGGAATCTCCAGGAGGCTTCAGCAAACGCAAGAGACAGGAAATTGAGGAAATGTTGCACACTCCACTTCAGTATGATAACAGGACGGTCTGGTGTCCTGTTTCAAAGCGGCTTAACTTCAATGAATCACAAGGTTCTTGTTCAGCTTATTCTACAATGGACAGAGGCACGGGGGGGGTACCCCCATGGTTGCCATGAAGATCCTCTCCTGGAATTGCCAAGGCCTCGGTCCTGTGGGGTCTGTCACTGAAGTAAGATTAAAGAAGCTAGTTACTACTAAAAAACCAGATATAGTATTTCTAATTGAAACTATGCATAAGTGTGATGTACTTAGGGATTTGTGTGTGTATCTTAGGTTTGATTATGTATTTACGGTACCTCCTATAGGTAGAAGTGGAGGATTAGCCTTATTATGTAAAAAAGAAGTTGACGTTATTAGGCTTTGTGAAGATGTAAGAATGATGGATCTTTCTATTAATTATAATGGGATGTCTTTCTACTTGTCATGTGTATATGGACACCCAAATCAAAAGCATAGAAATGATCTTTGGAAGAGAATAGAAAGTATTAAAAAATCACGACAAGGACCTTGGCTCTTAGTTGGGGATTTCAATGAAATTTTAAGCAATGATGAAAAAGAAGGAGGACCTTTAAGAGATGAGCGTAGCTTCCATGATTTCAGAAGAATGTTTAGCAACTGTGATTTTACTGATTTGAGATCAAAAGGCAACAAATTTTCTTGGATTGGAAAGAGACGAACACATACGGTGAAGTGCTGTTTAGATAGAATCATCGTAAACTCTGAAATGTGTGCAACATTTCCAGCATCAGAAGCAGAATTTCTAGGTCTATATGGTTCAGATCATAGACCAGTGCTTACAAAACTAGCCTATACTGAAGATGCAGTGAAGAAATCATTTCGTTTTGATAAACGTCTACTGCAAGTTACGAATTTTCGTGAATATGTCCAAAAAGGATGGAACTCTCAGAATGTGGGATACAATCCGATGATCACTGATAGAATTCGTGAATGTCGAAAATCAATTGCCAGATGTCGAAGGAATTCGAAACTTAATGCAGCAAAGAGAATCGAAGAATTAGAAATTGAACTAGAATTTGCTCTTGCTGCTCCGGGATCTAATCAAGAGGACATTTCACAGATACAAAAAGAACTTGCTCAGGCTTTTCGTGATGAAGAAACATATTGGAAATTAAAGAGTAGAAATTCTTGGCTTGCGGAAGGAGATTGCAACACAAAATTTTTCCATGCTTGTACGAAAATGAGATATTCAAAAAACAGAATTCTGTCAATAGAAGATGATACAGGACAGACCTTTAGAGGAGATATAGAGGTTGGTAAACATGCTGAAGAATTTTTCTCTAAAGTATACAAAAGTACCCAAAATTCATCTCAAGCAAACGTTTTTGCGAACTTCCAACCCACTGTCACAGCTTCTATGAATGAAGTCCTAACTAAGGAATTATCTGATCTGGAAGTTAAGAATGCGATCAGTTCAATAGGAGCTGACAAGACTCCTGGTCCAGACGGATTAACAGCTCGTTTTTATCAGCAGTGTTGGGATATAGTGGGTTCGAATATCACTAAAGAGGTGAAAGAGTTTTTTGCAACTTCACGTATGCCAAAAGATGTCAATCACACCAACATTTGCATGATCCCAAAAGTTGATAAACCATTGACTCTTTCTGAATATCGACCAATTGGGCTCTGTAATGTATTGTACAAGATCATTTCAAAGATCTTAGTTAGCCGATTGAAAGAATTTTTGGATAAAATAATCTCGGAATCACAAGCAGCATTCATTCCCGGTCGCATGATCACGGACAATGTCTTGATTGCTCATGAGTTAATGCACTCTCTAAAATCACGTAAAAGAGTTTCCCAAACATACATGGCCATTAAGACTGATATCACAAAAGTTTATGATCGCATTGAATGGAAGTTTTTAGAATCAACTTTAAGAGCCTTTGGTTTCGATGAAAAATGGATTGGGTGGATAGTGGCAACTGTCACAACGGTGGAATACTCTGTATTAATCAATGGAAATCCACAAGGGCGAATTATTCCTGAGAGAGGCTTAAGACAAGGGGATCCTTTGTCCCCTTATTTATATATCCTTTGTGCTGATGTTCTGAGTCATATGATAAAGACAACCTCTCGATCTGGAAAAATTCGAGGAATTAAAATAGGAAATGGAGTTCCGGCCATTACACATTTACTCTTTGCAGACGATTCCTTATTTTTTGCCAAGCTAATAATCGGAATTGTCGAGCGATCAAGGAAGTCTTCAAAACATATGAAGTAATATCGGGTCAACAAATAAACCCATCAAAGTCAATGATAACTTTTGGATCACGAATACTAGGAGATCTTCAAATGCGGTTAAAAGGAATCCTGGGTATTGATGAGCATGGAGGCGGGGGTAAATACCTAGGATTACCGGAACAGTTTGGCCGAAAGAAGAAGGAAATTTTTAATTACATCCTTGACAGAGTTTGTCAACGAACTTCTCAATGGAGTGCAAATTTTCTCTCCCAAGCTGGAAAAGAAATCATGATCAAATCTGTTGAAATTTCAATGCCGGTGTATTCGATGTCTTGTTTCAAATTACCATCGATGATTACAGATGAAATCAGTACCTTACTGATGAGATTTTGGTGGGAGAGAGGTGACAAAAAAAGAGGAATTCCTTGGGTAGCTTGGAAAATATTACAATTTTTGAAAAAAGAAGGCGGTTTAGGTTTTCGGGACTTGTCAAAATTCAATGATGCATTACTTGCTAAAAAAGTTTGGCGTCTTTTAAAACATCCAGATACTTTACTGGCTAGATTATTGAAAGCTAGATATTATAAGGATACATCGATTTTAGATGCCAAATGCCGGAAAAATCAATCATATTGCTGGAGTTCAATTATCGCTGGTTTGAATCTGTTAAAAAGAGGAGTACGACATATGATTGGAGATGGAGACACAACACGAGTTTATGAAGACAATTGGCTGCCGACGCAACCGTCCAGAGCTGCTACTCGAAACGTAGATAATAGAGACTTACTGGTTAAAGACTTGATAATTGAAACAAAGAATTCCCAACAATGGAATGTGGAAATGCTAAATGAGGTACTCGATGAAGTGGAATGTGGTATGGTAACAAATATCTATCTCCCACAATCAAAAAGAGTGATCATATTGTTTGGAGCTATGATAAAACTGATGAATATACAGTCAAGAGCGGATATTGGATGGCGTTTCAGGAATCAAGGTCGAATACACCGGAAATTACGATTCCACATGGTGATCCAGCTATTAAAGCTCGTATATGGAAATTACAAATTCAGCCAAAGCTAAAACATTTCCTTTGGAAGATTTTATCAAATGCTCTTGGAACGACAACAAGATTAAATTCTCGTGGTATGCTAATGGATATCACATGTCAAAGATGTTGTTCAGCACCGGAAACAATAAACCATTTACTTTTCACTTGTCCTGTGTCACAAATGATATGGCGCCAATCTCAAAGCCTTTGGTAACCTCTAAACTTGCAAAATGACTTTTGTGATGATCAATTATCTAACATCTTGGATTTTCAAAAGGTTCAAGGTTTAACTAATGTCCGAAAACTCCTCCCTTGGTGGTTAATGTGGAGAATTTGGAAATCTCGATGTAACCTGATCTTCCGAAAAGAAAGAGTTAGACCGGAAAGAGTGATTCAATATTCATTAGTGGATGTTAATGAATGGTATCTACGTTAACTCCACAAAACGCAAAACAGAATAAAAATATTATTCCAAACTCACATTCCCTGCATCACACTTCTCGACAAAACACATGGCAAAAACCAGAGGGGAAAAAATATAAGTGTAATTTTGATGCGAGCTTTAATCATGAAAATCACCACTCTAATGTAGGATGGGTTGTAAGAGATCATTGTGGCATACAGTGTTTTTGGGGTTCGACATCGATTGGACAAACATCCTCACCGCTGGAAGCAGAAGCTAAAGCTCTACTCTTGGCAATGCAACAAGTCTGGTGTACAGGACTTCGATCACTATGTTTTGAAGGATATTGTAAAACACTCTTTGATGTCTTAGAAAAGAAATCTGCTGAGTTCACTATCAAAAAGATATGCAGCGATATCTCTTATTGGACATCAAAATTTGTGGAATGTAAACTTCAACATACAAAAAGATCAAACAATATCCCAGCTCACCTGCTTGCCAAAAAGGGTCCTCCAAATTCCATTTTCTTTTCTTAAAATTTGTATCCACCAAGATGGTTATCAGTTTCTTTGTATTCTGATTATGTAAACTCATTTTGAAATAAATAAAATTCACTTTTGCTTAAAAAAAAAAAATTTCATGTGTTTCCACTCATATGTTGAATTCTAATGACATAATCTACACTCCTGGGCTGTAGTTGAATATGGAATTTCTTGATATGAACATGGATCATAATCTTAATATTGTTTTTTCTTTGGTTCTTCTTCTCTTATCAGGTAAGTCACAGGTAACTGAAAGATGGGGTGTGTTCGTACCAACACCTTGAAGAAATCTTCTCGTCAAGTCATCGAGAAGTACTACTCTTGCATGACTCTTGACTTCCACACAAACAAGAAGATCCTTAAAGAAGTTGCCATCATTCCTTCAAACCGACTCCGCAACAAGATTGCTGGATTCTCCACCCACTTGATGAAACATATCCAGAAGGGACCAGTCCGTGGGATCTCACTCAAGCTTCAAGAAGAAGAGCGTGAACGCCGCATGGACTTTGTTCCGGATGAGTCTGCTATTAAGACCGATGAAATCAAGGTCGACAAAGAGACTCTAGAGATGCTTGCTTCCCTTAGAATTTCTGAAATCCCTGGCTTCTCTCAAGTCGAGCCACAGGCTATGGCACCTGTTCGTATCAGTCGACCAAGAGAAAAGATTTGCTGTTTTTTCAAGTTAGGGACAAATGACTTGTGTCTCTTGGAGTTTTTATTGTTTCGTTTGATTAAAGATTTATGTCTGAAACTAAAAGTGAGACTCTTTCTCTAATCGATGGCCTTTAAGTTTTGATGATCATTTGTCTATGTGGAACCAAAGTTAAAGGTATGGTAACATCTTTTATAGTTATTTGATTTCGTTGATTTTAGGACCAACAATTAGAATTCAAATTTAACACACATTCTCTGATCTTGTGTCAAGGGATATGTACTCATCATCAAGGAAAATAGATAAGAAAACAATGCATACAAATACAGGTATTCTCGTGCTAAAATGCATATAAAAAAGTTTCAAACTCAATCTTCAAACCAGTTGCCACATTAATTACGTCAGGATTTCCACAAGCTCAGGATGTCTATGCATATGTACTTCATCAAGCACATTTTTATTTGGCAGAACTCAATGTAGTTGGCTTCCCGTTGTTCAAGAAGATTCAAGCGCTGCACAAAGATGTATATAGATGTTAGAGGCTGACCATGGACTAGTCATCAAACCGGCATTAACAAGTGCCAGTAACAGATATCTCGTAAGGCAGCACGTTTGCATTATGCTGCTATAGTCACAAAAGAATCCAGTGAGAAAGGTAATCGATTAGCAGAGGAGACACATGTAAACTCCGGAACTGAGCATGCAATTCTGCTCATGAGCTTGCATGTTTCTGCAAATAACATTAGTTTGTTAGGAAGAATGAGAAGCCTTAAATCATAACAAACACAAAAGGGAACATACTAAGAAACTTTTCACATAAGTTTAATTCACTTGAATTTTCAGAGCAATATCATAAGCAGGAGGGTTTAGAAGAAGATGCCAGACATACCTGAAAGGAAAAAGGCAACGAAAGAAGAAGATGAAAAAAGCAAAACATGCTCACTGATCGGCGAAGCTTGAATCGAGGTTACATAGCATAAAGGAGTTTGGTTCAAATATTCAACCCCAAATAATGATTTCTTCCCTTGGTTAGCAATCCACCATCGCTTATCAACTAGAGATCGCATGTCTTCATGGAAAATGGGAGCAAATGCAGGTTGTATCTTGTGCCAACACCACACCAAGACACGAAACCATCTATTCTTTACTTGCAAATATTTTGAAGAAGTATGGAAAGAATTAAGCAAAGGGCTTCTCGAAAACAAATTCCCTACAGATTGGCCAGCAATCATATCTATTGGTTTATGGTCGGTTTGCGCCCATGATTTGGCAGCATACCAAACTGGTTTGATTAAACCAGTAGTTATGAGAAATTGGTTCTTATAACTTCCATATATGAAGAGTTGTGACTCTTCAAATTATGTCTCTTCAATATGTATATATATGAGACATTGCAGAGAGAATTTTGTGTCTGTTTACAACAGTTTGTGACTGTTGGTAAACAAAGAAATTACAGAGGAGAGAGAAAACGTTTTAGAGAGAGAAAGCTTGGAGAGATCAATTAGAAGGGCATTTGAACGGTGATAAGTGGTTGATTTCCATCTGTGATCTCTTCCCCGATCTCTGCATTCGTTTTCAGATCATACCGAATCATATTCATCGCTAAACCGGGCAAAGGTATGTTTTCGGTTTAAACGCTTCCGCATAAAACTCTTACATTGGTATCAGAGCATTAGGATTCGGTTCTGGAATGAACACGTTCATAGTAATCATGAATTAAAACGGTTATGTGTCAGTCATACTTGTTCATGATGAATTGGAGAAAATGGTTAATGCTTAAATGATTGAAAATGGTGAATTCGTGAATATATAGTGAAATGGATTGAAACTTTGCATATATGTTCATTATATAGGCTTGAATGATTCTGGAAAATATCACTTTGAGAACGGCAATAGTTTGCATGAATTTCGAAAATTAGTGAAAAAACCGAAACTATTGTTTCGTCCATATCTCTCTATCTATAATTCGGAATTACGTGATTTTAGTTTCCGTGCATATATATTGAAATTATCTTTAGATTGATATATAGAACGCATGATTTGGTTACGTATTTAGGGAGATATAAGGGTTGAAAATTTTGAAATATTTTTGCTGTTTAACAATCTCTTTGAAGAAGATGATGAAAAGTACCCGCGAGAAAAAAAAAAAAAAAAATTTTTTTTATTTTTTTTTTTTTGGATCAATTTTTTTTTGTTACATATTTTATTTGTTAATTTATGTATAAAATACTTTGATCAAGTGGGAGTTCTGATTAGTTTAGAACTTAAAAATTTGCTTGAAACAAATTAATTTATTATAACAAAATTTTGATATGGGTGATGATTGGGAGCATAGTGAACTCTCGATCTCATATCAAAATTGAGTTATTCTATATTAGTTTGTGTTCATGGCAAAATTATATGTTATATGTTAAGAGTATGCAAAGAAAGTATGTCTTTAAGATGTTCAAGCAGGTATGTCGTCTGCTTGTAAGAACATCATTGCTGAGCTCAACCGAGGAGACAAATTGGATGGTGACAATTAAGATATTTGGTATCAGAAAGTCCAGTATGTCCTCGAAGAGCAAGAGGTTAAAGAGACTCTTTTCCATCACATGGAAGAGCCTGAGCAGGGTACTACGGCTCAACATGAGAAAGATCAGCAGACATATGTTGCCTGGAAAAGAAAGAATAGCATCGCTCGCATCACGTTGTTGAGTTGTATGCAAGATGATCTCATGTGTGAATTTGAAGAGTACGAAACTGCGAAAGGCATGTGGGAGCCTTGAAAGATAAGTTCGGTGCCCCATCGGCTACCAAACTTAGGAGACTTAATCAAAGGTTTAATGATTATAAGAAGCGCCCAAATCAATCGATGAGGCAGCATCTTAGAATCATGTCAAATATGATTAGAGAGCTCAAAAATGCTGGTCAAATTATGTCTAATGAACAGCAAGTCCAAGCGGTTCTCCGCTTGTTGCCTGAAAGTTGAGACCATATGAAGGTTCAGATGACGCACAATGAAAATGTAAAAACATTTGAAGATATATCACGTCATCTTGAGTTAGAGGATGAACGCTTAGAGGCTTCTAAATCCGTTAGTGAGGCCAACTTTGCGAGTTCAAACTCAGGTTTGAAACGCAAGAAAGGTAACATGGGACACAGGGCACCCTACCAGTCTGAACTTAAGAGACAAAAGAAAGATGCCAAGCGTGGCAAGCGTGGAGGCAAAAAGGATAAGACCAAAATGAAGTGCTACAACTGTAGCTCATTGGGTCACTTTGCTCGTGAATGCACTGAGGCAAAGAAGGTATTATCCTTAAACTCTACTTGCAAATATGCTTATATTTCTAGTTGTGTAATGCTTACAGAATCTCATCCTTCGTGGATTGTAGACTCAGGAGCAACAGACCACGTAGCTAGAAGTCGAGAAGCATTTGTAGAGTACCGACGGGTGCCTAAAGGTACAAGATGGTTGTATGTGGGAAACAACTCCAAAGTTGCTGTTCAGGGTATCGACACTTGCCAGCTACACATGCGTGGCGGAAAAACTCTCATATTACATGATGTCTTGTATGCTCCTGAAATCCGTCGGTACTTAGTCTCTGTTTTGGCTCTACTTAAGTTAGGATTTGGTTTGAACTTCCATGACATGTGTTTGCACATTTCTCTAGGGTCTGTGTTCTTTGGTTCTGGTTACGCTTGTGATGGTTTTATTGTACTTGATTGTACTACAAATGTTACTACTAGAAGTAATGTTGATAATTGTTTATCATATGTCACAAGTTCTGAAAATGTTGAAATGAATGTGTGGCATTCTAGACTTGGTCACATTGGAGCCAATCGAATGAATAGATTGGCTAGAGAAGGTATTCTAGGCTCACTAGCCCGAATTGATCTTGACACATGTGAACCATGTTTGGCCGGAAAAGCAATAAAAAAACCATTTGGAAAAGCGACTAGAGCTGAATTTCCATTGCAATTAGTTCATTCAGACATATGTGGTCCGATGAATGTGAGGGCGAGGCATGGAGCTTCATATTTCATCACTTTTATAGATGATTTCACTTGATTCGGGTATGTGTATCTAATTTCACATAAGTCAGAAGCACTAGAGTGTTTTAGACGATATATCATTTTGGTCGAGAATCAGTTGGAGAGGACGATCAAGTGTTTAAGAACGGATCGAGGTCGTGAATATCTATCTGAACAGTTCAAAAGACTGTGTGATGAAAAGGGTATTGTCAGACAATTGACTACCCCTTATACACCACAACAAAATGGTGTAGCGGAAAGAAGAAACCGAACTCTTCTTGAAATGGTTAGGTCTATGATGGCGCAGGCTAACCTTCCAATTTTATATTGGGGGGATGCATTACTGACTGCTGCCTATATACTTAACCTTGTGCCCTCCAAATCTGTTACTACTACTCCTTATGAATTATGGACAGGAAGAAAACCCGACCTAATGCATCTGAGACCTTGGGGGTCTGCAGCATTTGTTCGCGATATTTTTCATCCTCATGGAAAATTGGGTCCTAGAGGAAAGAAGTGTATCTTCATAAGATACTCTGAGCATTCTAAAGGTTATGTCCTTATCGGCGAACAATCAGATGGAAGTGTAACAGAAATCGAATCACGAGATGTCACGTTCTTGGAAAATGATTTTCCTAGAAGGGGAGAAGTTGATAAAGGACTCCATCTCGAAGAGATAGTAGAGACAACTAGTGTTCCTTCTACTAACCAATTCATGGAAGTTGATGAAAGTTCACATGAACTATCACAACTTAGTGGGAGAGAGACATTGGTTGGTGATTCCTCTATGGAGGAAGCACAAGAGTCTGAGCTACGTAGAAGTAACCGTAGAAAAGTTTCTAGACGTCGTTTTGAGATTGAAGGGGAAGCTTTTATGGTTGCTCTACATGATAATCAAGAGCCTAGATCAGTTCAAGAGGCTCTCTCTTGCCCAAACTCAGTTGAATGGAATAGTGCAATAGGAGAAGAATTAAAATCTATGAAAGTTAACCATGTCTGGGACTTGGTTGATCTTCCGCCTGAACGTCGAGCAATCGGAAACAAATGGGTTTTCAAGATCAAACGTAAGGCGGATGGATCCATATATAGGTACAAGGCTCGCCTAGTAGCGAAAGGATATACACAACAGGAGGGTATATATTATGAGGAAACGTTTTCACCTGTGGTGAGGTTTGCCTCAATTCACCTTATTCTAGCTATAGATGCCGGACTAGACTTAGAATTACATCAGATGGACGTTAAGACTGCATTTCTTAATGGGGAACTAGAAGAAGATATTTACATGCAACAACCTGCTGGGTTTGTTGTAAAAGGCCAGGAGCACAAAGTTTGTAAGCTCAGACGTTCAATATATGGCCTAAAACAAACAATCTTCTAGGCAATGGTATCTTCGTTTTCATCAAGCTATAACATCTTATGAGTTTACGATGATTAGTGAAGACCATTGTGTCTACGTCAAGAGTACTGGACAATCCTTTGTAATTCTATCTCTTTATGTTGATGACATCTTATTAGCTGGAAATGATATGGAGTTTTTAATAACTGTTAAGCAATGGTCATCATCTCATTTCGAGATGAAGGATATGGGAGAAGCTGATTACATACTTGGTGTTAAGATACACCGAGACCGTTCAAGGAAATTACTGGCTCTTTCACAAGAGTCTTACATTCGAACAATCCTTGCAACCCCATTGAAACCCCAATCGCAAAAGGTGTAGGCCTAAGCCGTAATATGTGCCCTAAGACCGATGATGAGAAAAGAGAGATGAAAGGAGTCCCATACTCTAGTGCTATAGGCAGTTTGATGTATGCCATGATGTGCACCCGGCCAGATATTTGTTATTCGGTTGGTTTGGTAAGTCGTTACCAATCAAATCCCGGGAAGAAACACTGGATGGCAGTGAAGAGGATCCTCAGATACTTGAAGGGGACAATGGACTATTCCTTGTGTTATCAAGGAAGTGATTTACGCTTGACGGGTTATACAGATGCCGATTGGGCTGGCGATTTGGATGAGCGTAAGTCAACTTCAGGATATGCTTTCTTACTCAGTGATGGTGCTATTACTTAGAGTAGCAAAAAGCAGTCTTGTACATCATTATCCACGATGGAAGCTGATTTCATTGCATGTTCAGCATCAGTTCAAGAGGCTGTATGGCTAAGGAGGTTCTTAGAGAGCTTACAAGTCACAAGAGAGACTTCGTGTCCTGTGACTATCCATTGTGATAGTCAAGCTTGTATCGCTTACATGAAGGACCCCAAGTATCATGGAAGGACAAAACACATTGAAATTAAGAATAATTTCGTTAGAGACATTGTGGCAAAGAAAAAAGGGGTCCTTAAGTACTTATCTACGCATAGGATGGTCGCTGATCCATTTACTAAGCCTATTCCTAGAGATGTGTTCCTTGCACATGTTCGAGCGTTAGGTTTGCGTAGAGTTTGATGTATGTACTAATGGAGCTTTGTTATTTGACATTGTATTTATGTTTGATATTTAATACATATCTAAGGATATTTCAAACATTTTACAATGGTCTCTTTTAGTTTGCATACTTACATATAAATTTTGAGAAGTGTCCCCAAGTTAGAGATTGGTTCACTCACATGAACAATCGCCTTAAATTTCTTTGTGAAAGGCTAAGATGAGACGTGATGAGTTTGGCGCTAGTGGGAGTTTGCTTTATAAAACTTATCAATGTCGCCTTAATAAGAAGTTAAGATGAGATATTTTTTTTTAAAATATCGATCATGATTGTCCCAAAATCATGAATACTTGGCATAGCTGGATAAGTACATAATCAGGCGCTAGAAAGCGAGCTGGTAGTAGCTTGATCCATATAGCGGTGCTTGGTTTATCCAAAAGGACAATACTCTTAAAAGAAGAGGTAATCGCTATAGCATGTGAGTCATACCACATGTGCTAATACGACCATATAGGAAGCAAGTGATATTTTTTTTATAATCCCTATCTCTCGCAATGTGAGTTTCTATTAACCTATTTATGGTTCCAAGGTTACCCTTGAACCTTCGGCTATGTTTTGAAGGGATGAGCTAATGTTTGCTACTTTAGTATGTTTTGCGACGGTGATGAAATAATTAGCCTTATGAAACATGTTAGGAAAGCAGTTAGTTCAGATCCGATAGACATGAGAAAGGAAGGGAAAACTATTTGCTTTTATATTGACATATGTGTTTGCTGGCCAGCCACTATATCACTCAATTGGAGTTTGTATATAGTGAACACATGATGTAAGAAAAGGTCCAACATATGCTTTAGGGATAAGATATGTTATGGCTGATATAAAAGACAAATGAGTTTGGGGAACAGCGAGACATGCTGAAATTCAAATTTTTTTTAGGGTTGTAGCTTGTATGTATCCCTAACAGGTGCATATTTTAACTCCCAAGTGTAGGTGTATTCGCAAGGGTCGCACGGTTTATTTTCCGTATGATTTCCAATTTACGATTCTCAAGCTTAGTCTCTAATACTTCTTCAATGCTTGTTATGCTCCCTATCATGTGCGAGTGGGAGATATTGGTTTATGGTCGGTTTGCGCCCATGATTTGGCAGCATACCAAACTGGTTTGATTAAACCAGTAGTTATGAGAAATTGGTTCTTATAACTTCCATATATGAAGAGTTGTGACTCTTCAAATTATGTCTCTTCAATATGTATATATATGAGACATTGCAGAGAGAATTTTGTGTCTGTTTACAACAGTTTGTGACTGTTGGTAAACAAAGAAATTA